CAATTGAAAGAGAGCAGAAAAATATTTAAACTAAAAAGACAATGAACAATAATAAGTACTCTGCAATGAAGGATAATCGATCCCTTCGAAGTGCAGATTCTTGAGATTCCAGGTCTTGTGATTTCCTATCAAACTCTGAATTCTTTCTGCTGATTTCTGCAAATTTGGCATCAGCCGAACGTAATTTGGCTTCTACTTCTAAAGATTTCTCTTCAACGCTAGCCACTAAAGCATTTGCTTCAGCCAACTTTGACTCCGCTGTAAATTTAATTTTTGCATTTTCTGATCGCATCTCTCGCAGAGCCTTCTCAAGCTGTTTGAATCGCAAATTTCTTTATATCAGTAAGAAATAATAGAATAATACAGATACAGACTATACACAAATAAAGATCATACAGATGTCTTGCATTTTTAATTAAGGGAGAAGTTGATTGATATGTAAACTCATATGTTGAAAAACTTACATCAAGAACACACTCTTTCTCTACACCCAAGGCCTTCCTCAGATTCTCTTCTCGCTTCTCTGCCTCAGATAGAGCAATTAAATGAGCAGCTTTTTCTCGTTCCAGAGCATCCTTCACTTCTACTAAATCTTGACTTTGTTCAGTATACTTAGAAGTCCACTCTTTTTTCTCAATCAGAAGAAGTCCCATGTTGAATTGGTACTCATAAAGCTGGTCCAGAAAAACTTCTAATCAGGTCAAACCACAAAATATATTCGGTAGAAAATAATAAAACAGTTAGGTTGCACAGCTACACAAGCTTAAGTAGCTTATGATTTCCCTAACTCACTAAGATCCCCTTCCGATTATTTTATTTTCATTTTAACATCAGCCTAAATATCTTGTAGTCATCCTAAAGCCAAACAGTATTTATCAGAGTACAACAACATTCAGAGATTGGATTGGACAACCCAGCGTGAATGAAAATAAAAGAATAACACCTGGAGCCACAAAAATTGAGAGATAATTTCTTCTAAAATAGAAGTGTCAGGTTCAAACATCATATAAGCTAAAACTTATTCATACCAAACATAGAAGGCTGACCCTAGTCTTAGTGACAAAACATCTTTAAAATGCTAAATATCCCCCTCCATTTTTGACAGAACAATATAAATGTTAGTAACAAAGAATGGATAAGGACATAAATATAAGACAAGGCCAAAAACAACATAAACAAAGCAGTACAACCAAATTGAAATCCCCAAACTCTCAGAACTCATGGCAAATACACGCCTAAGTCTAGGATGGGTCATGAACTCGAGAACCAAATGAGTCATTTCAATGTTACTCCAAATAATGTGAATTTGTAATTTAATTTCTGAAAATTCCAGCACTCCTCTCGGTCTAAAAATCACCCAGGTTCAAGGACAAAATATAATAATTACCTTTACCGCCAAGCTCTAATATGAATCATAACAAGACTAGAAGGACAAAATAAAATCATTCTCCCCATTGGTCCCATAAGCAAGATTTCACTAAAAGTGACTTTGCTTCAACAATTTCATAATAGCCAAAAGGTTTCTTCAATAAGTAGAAAACATAATTAAAATGCGGGAGAGGCATGTGAACTGAGTTATCGAAAAGAATAATTAAGAACTAAATCCCCTACAGTTAACATCTTCAAATCAGTTCTAAGAACAAAACATACCAAGTTACGGCCCCAGAGCCAAGCTTCAAATGTCAGTACCCAAACCAAGTAAATAAAGAGCATATTTTTCAAGTTTAATGAAGAACCAAGCCAGACATGATTCCAAAAATTAAAATCTTACACAGAAGACACTTACGTAACAATTGTTCAATCTCCACCACAGCAATTACACACAGAATATTCAAATTAAAACCTAAAGCAATCAAAATTACAATCTCAACCAAAAAACAACCATTAACTAAGACTTGAAGGCACACTTTGTCACAGTACCGCAGCAAAAGGAAAAGGAATCCTTCAAAATAAAAACCAAAAGAATATTAAAAAGTTAAAAAAAAAAAACAAAAAAAACTAATCAACTAACTAACCTCCTTCTCGAGGCTGGAAACTCTCTCAACCAAAACCTCGCGATCCAAGTTGTTCCCGCCATTCTCAACAACCGCGACGATACCTTTCTCCTTCGCGCTCGCCCCATCTCCCGAATTCGGACCCAAATCCGAACCCGACCCGGTTCTGCCCCGAACCCCACTCTTGTTTGGCGTCAGGGACCAACCTGACCACACCTTCTGCGGCGTAAACATCGTCGGAAAAAAAAACAGCACAGCCGAATTCTTCACTCCACAGCGACGACCTTCGAATTCAACCTCAGCCTTGCTGCACCATCGCGAATCGCGAAAATTCGAAACCGAAAAGAAGAAGAAAGAGAAAGGAAGCCTAACTAAGCGAGCCTCCGGACGCGACCGCAGTTCCCAAATCCCGGCGAATTGAGGATTTGAAGTCCGATAACGTCTATAAAATTCTCAAACGGTTCTCTTCTTTCTCTCTCTACTTCTTTCTCCTTTCTCTCTCCTCTTTTTGCTTTATGCGCTGATCGCTCACGTTCCTTGTTTTTATTTTATTGGTTTAATGTCTGGAGCGTGGCTGAAAGTTCGAGAGTACCCTTACCTTTGTCAAGATCGCGCCTCCTCGCCAAGGGTAATATCGGGATTCTGCAGCGAGGCCTTTTGGTTTGGAACGTGGGTTCTCGTGTATTTTTTTCGACTGACGGTATTGCCCTTGCTAGTGGTTGGTAGAATAAGAAAATCTGAAAATATTAGCAAAAGAGACACTTTATTTAATGCAAAAATAAATATAAATTTTTAGTTGACATATATTACCCATGTTTTTCCATTAGAGTTTAAGTTTTAAATTAATAATTTGTAAAATAAATGCAATATTAAGAAAAAAAAATAATGTTTTGAGCAACTTAAAAATGATAGAAAATTTATTTGTCTTTTAACCCTTTTAAATTAACACATTATTTATTATCTATCAAAAAGTATTAAAGTTATAATAAACTTGCATTATATATTTTTATTATTAATAATGAAAATCATTTAAAAGCGTCAAATGGTAGAATATTTTACTTCATTTTAATAATATCACTTGTAAGCAGTGAGAAATAAGATTGAAGTTTCTGATAATCTTTTAGTGGATAAAACATGTTTTCCAATTTCAATTCGAGTAAAACCTTAAATTAATCTTTGAAATGAGTGTAATAATTAATAATTTTTTATTAAAATGTTCATATGCAGATATAATTAATTTAAAAAATNATATATATATATATATATATATATAAGAACATACTTTTTCTTTAGCATTGAGCTTTTCCTCCCATGCAGATAGCTCCTTTTCTTTGAGATCCAAATTTATTCTCAGAGAATCATATTCCTGCATCAGAGAATATGGACCCATAAATTCCAACAACCAGAAAAAGCAGAATAAAGGTAAACAATATCACAAGCAAATACTTACCTTCTCTTTTAAAGCTATATCTGCAAGCCTATTGTTCAGGTCTTCTTCTTTACTTCTCAGTGTTATATTAGTCGCATCAATCTTCTTCTGGGCCTCTTCAAGGTCCTTCTCTTTCTGTTGGCATAGTCTATCATTCTCATTAGCCCTTTGCTCTCTTTGGTTTATAATTTGTTGACCCTTGGCCAGCCTCTCTTCACCCTCCTGAAGTTTCTTCTCCCATTCCCACAAGTCTTCTCTCTGCTTAGACAATGTATTCTCATGTGCTTCTTGCCTGTTACAGATAAAAAATAATTATTGCCCCAATAATATTTCAATTGAAAGAGAGCAGAAAAATATTTAAACTAAAAAGACAATGAACAATAATAAGTACTCTGCAATGAAGGATAATCGATCCCTTCGAAGTGCAGATTCTTGAGATTCCAGGTCTTGTGATTTCCTATCAAACTCTGAATTCTTTCTGCTGATTTCTGCAAATTTGGCATCAGCCGAACGTAATTTGGCTTCTACTTCTAAAGATTTCTCTTCAACGCTAGCCACTAAAGCATTTGCTTCAGCCAACTTTGACTCCGCTGTAAATTTAATTTTTGCATTTTCTGATCGCATCTCTCGCAGAGCCTTCTCAAGCTGTTTGAATCGCAAATTTCTGGATATCAGTAAGAAATAATAGAATAATACAGATACAGACTATACACAAATAAAGATCATACAGAAGTCTTGCATTTTTAATTAAGGGAGAAGTTGATTGATATGTAAACTCATATGTTGAAAAACTTACATCAAGAACACACTCTTTCTCAACACCCAAGGCCTTCCTCAGATTCTCTTCTCGCTTCTCTGCCTCAGATAGAGCAATTAAATGAGCAGCTTTTTCTCGTTCCAGAGCATCCTTCACTTCTACTAAATCTTGACTTTGTTCAGTATACTTAGAAGTCCACTCTTTTTTCTCAATCAGAAGAAGTCCCATGTTGAATTGGTACTCATAAAGCTGGTCCAGAAAAACTTCTAATCAGGTCAAACCACAAAATATATTCGGTAGAAAATAATAAAACAGTTAGGTTGCACAGCTACACAAGCTTAAGTAGCTTATGATTTCCCTAACTCACTAAGATCCCCTTCCGATTATTTTATTTTCATTTTAACATCAGCCTAAATATCTTGTAGTCATCCTAAAGCCAAACAGTATTTATCAGAGTACAACAACATTCAGAGATTGGATTGGACAACCCAGCGTGAATGAAAATAAAAGAATAACACCTGGAGCCACAAAAATTGAGAGATAATTTCTTCTAAAATAGAAGTGTCAGGTTCAAACATCATATAAGCTAAAACTTATTCATACCAAACATAGAAGGCTGACCCTAGTCTTAGTGACAAAACATCTTTAAAATGCTAAATATCCCCCTCCATTTTTGACAGAACAATATAAATGTTAGTAACAAAGAATGGATAAGGACATAAATATAAGACAAGGCCAAAAACAACATAAACAAAGCAGTACAACCAAATTGAAATCCCCAAACTCTCAGAACTCATGGCAAATACACGCCTAAGTCTAGGATGGGTCATGAACTCGAGAACCAAATGAGTCATTTCAATGTTACTCCAAATAATGTGAATTTGTAATTTAATTTCTGAAAATTCCAGCACTCCTCTCGGTCTAAAAATCACCCAGGTTCAAGGACAAAATATAATAATTACCTTTACCGCCAAGCTCTAATATGAATCATAACAAGACTAGAAGGACAAAATAAAATCATTCTCCCCATTGGTCCCATAAGCAAGATTTCACTAAAAGTGACTTTGCTTCAACAATTTCATAATAGCCAAAAGGTTTCTTCAATAAGTAGAAAACATAATTAAAATGCGGGAGAGGCATGTGAACTGAGTTATCGAAAAGAATAATTAAGAACTAAATCCCCTACAGTTAACATCTTCAAATCAGTTCTAAGAACAAAACATACCAAGTTACGGCCCCAGAGCCAAGCTTCAAATGTCAGTACCCAAACCAAGTAAATAAAGAGCATATTTTTCAAGTTTAATGAAGAACCAAGCCAGACATGATTCCAAAAATTAAAATCTTACACAGAAGACACTTACGTAACAATTGTTCAATCTCCACCACAGCAATTACACACAGAATATTCAAATTAAAACCTAAAGCAATCAAAATTACAATCTCAACCAAAAAACAACCATTAACTAAGACTTGAAGGCACACTTTGTCACAGTACCGCAGCAAAAGGAAAAGGAATCCTTCAAAATAAAAACCAAAAGAATATTAAAAAGTTAAAAAAAAAAAACAAAAAAAACTAATCAACTAACTAACCTCCTTCTCGAGGCTGGAAACTCTCTCAACCAAAACCTCGCGATCCAAGTTGTTCCCGCCATTCTCAACAACCGCGACGATACCTTTCTCCTTCGCGCTCGCCCCATCTCCCGAATTCGGACCCAAATCCGAACCCGACCCGGTTCTGCCCCGAACCCCACTCTTGTTTGGCGTCAGGGACCAACCTGACCACACCTTCTGCGGCGTAAACATCGTCGGAAAAAAAAACAGCACAGCCGAATTCTTCACTCCACAGCGACGACCTTCGAATTCAACCTCAGCCTTGCTGCACCATCGCGAATCGCGAAAATTCGAAACCGAAAAGAAGAAGAAAGAGAAAGGAAGCCTAACTAAGCGAGCCTCCGGACGCGACCGCAGTTCCCAAATCCCGGCGAATTGAGGATTTGAAGTCCGATAACGTCTATAAAATTCTCAAACGGTTCTCTTCTTTCTCTCTCTACTTCTTTCTCCTTTCTCTCTCCTCTTTTTGCTTTATGCGCTGATCGCTCACGTTCCTTGTTTTTATTTTATTGGTTTAATGTCTGGAGCGTGGCTGAAAGTTCGAGAGTACCCTTACCTTTGTCAAGATCGCGCCTCCTCGCCAAGGGTAATATCGGGATTCTGCAGCGAGGCCTTTTGGTTTGGAACGTGGGTTCTCGTGTATTTTTTTCGACTGACGGTATTGCCCTTGCTAGTGGTTGGTAGAATAAGAAAATCTGAAAATATTAGCAAAAGAGACACTTTATTTAATGCAAAAATAAATATAAATTTTTAGTTGACATATATTACCCATGTTTTTCCATTAGAGTTTAAGTTTTAAATTAATAATTTGTAAAATAAATGCAATATTAAGAAAAAAAAATAATGTTTTGAGCAACTTAAAAATGATAGAAAATTTATTTGTCTTTTAACCCTTTTAAATTAACACATTATTTATTATCTATCAAAAAGTATTAAAGTTATAATAAACTTGCATTATATATTTTTATTATTAATAATGAAAATCATTTAAAAGCGTCAAATGGTAGAATATTTTACTTCATTTTAATAATATCACTTGTAAGCAGTGAGAAATAAGATTGAAGTTTCTGATAATCTTTTAGTGGATAAAACATGTTTTCCAATTTCAATTCGAGTAAAACCTTAAATTAATCTTTGAAATGAGTGTAATAATTAATAATTTTTTATTAAAATGTTCATATGCAGATATAATTAATTTAAAAAATTATATATATAAATTCTTTTACATCAAATATAGAGAAAAAAGATACATTTATGAGTAAATGATTTATAAGTAAGTATAGACCTTTTCAAAACATTATATTAAAAATGTAATTAAAAATAGAGTGGTCATATTTCAAGAATATAACTAAAATTTGGTTTTAATCTCTAATAAAAATAAATATATCTAATTTTAAAATATATTATTTGTAGACTTTCATAAAAGAAAAAATACGTTTAAATAATATTTAAGAGACAAAAATAACCAATCAAAAGTTAAATATGTTATATTTATATAGTAGGAAGTTCACTAAAATACAATATCAATAAAATTTAAATCTAACCAATAAAAAATTAATAACATTCTTTATTTAAAATTTTAAAATAATTAATAAATAAGTCTTCATTTTTATATATTATTCTAACATTCACATATTCTTATTCAATGTTAAAGATGGATTTAAGCTTGAAATTCTATTATAATAAAAAAATTTAAAAAATAGAAAATAGAAAAAGTTAAAAGACAAACTTTAACCTTTTGCATAGAATAAAAGTATATTGTATTTGATTTTCATAATTAAAAAATAATAATAATAATAGTAATGAAAAAATAGTATATTGGTGGGGGGTGTTTTGGTAAAAGGAATGGTTTTTGAGCTTGAGAGAAGATGCAGGGTGTGGCAGAGGGGTATTAAGTTGGAAAAGAGAATTAGCCAATTCTATCAGTATGGGCAATGCAATTAGATTTCTCAAAAGTCGAATTGCCAAGCTACCTTTGACGATATCCGAGTCAGAATCAAAAACCTCTCTTCAATCAGATGTTGAGCGTTTCATAAATGAGAAAATTCTACTTGCCGACAAGGTGATAGTCAAGCATGCTATCACAAAAATAAGAGATGGTGATGTTCTTCTTACTTATGGGTCTTCATCCGCAGTTGAAATGGTACTATTACATGCACACGGAGTTAGGTAAACAGTTCGAGTTTGTAGTGGTAAGACTCTCGTCCAAGACTTAGAGGGAAACTTTTGCTTCGTAGGCTTGTGGAGAAGGGTCTTAGCTGTACATACACTCATATAAATGCTGTTTCCTACATAATGAAGAAGTTAATCGAGTATTTCGGGGTTGCGTTCCTCAGTTGTGGTTAAAGGGGACAGTTATTACAAGGGCAGGTTGGATGCTTGTGTTGCAATGGTTGCCCAGGATTTCGTTTGTCCCTGTTTTAGTATTGCGTGAGGCTTATAAAGTTCATGAAAGGGTGCAGCATGATCCAATGCTCAAATGAGTTGGTATGTAAACAATGAGAGAGCAAGTTCATTGCACCGATCTCTTTTGCCTTATGTCTGGAAAAAAGTTAATGCTTCTATAATTTTCTTACAGGTGATCCAGACATCATTTCTAGGGTTCAGAGTAGAGAGGATGTGAACCACTTGGAAGGTTGGGCCCATACTGAAAATCTGCAACTTCTAAATCTGATGTAAGACATTTATATTTACATTATACAAAACCAAAAATGTCATTTTATTACTCTGACCCTGCCATTTTCTATATTGATGCCAGCTATGATGCAACACCTTCAGATTACGTTTCCATGATAATCACAGATTATGGCATGGTAAGTGCTACAATTAAAGAAGATTTGTTTAGTTGCTGCTAGCAAAATACCTAAAGTGTGCCTTATTCCTAGTATGGATTCTGTCTCACTTTTTAGTAGAATGACACAATCAGAATTAAGATCAATTTGGACTAAGAAAATCCAAGAGGATAAAAGGGGAAAAAATTACTTGTATCCTTCCTCAAATATTAGATAAAAGAGATACATTAAAATAGTAGACGACAAGAATTTAAACGAGGTTAATCCTCATAATATAGCTGTTTTGTTTTTGTTGTAAAGTAAATGCATTTCTTATAGTCTTAAGGTGTATTTTCCATTCTACACTTAGTATGAATTTACGATCACGAAAAATAAAAGATTTAACAATTTAATCCTAACAGGTCCCACCCACAAGTGTACCTGTAATTGTAAGGGAATATAGCAGGGAAAACAGGTGTGGATATGAAATGCTCCAAATGTGGATCATCTCAATTCTTGTATTGCATGCAGAGACCCAATTTTAGCAATAAAAGTTTGTGAAGGCTACGATGATGCCATCGTTCTGTATCATTATTTTCTTATCCAGGAATAATGTAACGGTCCTTTTGTTCTTTTCGAAATTTTGGACGCTTGTCTCTGTATTCTCCTGTCGCAGTGAAGAGTGCAGATTGTCGCCTCTCCCGACAGATTTTGGCCATGCATTCTCACTTGTAACCCCTTTTTAGCGGTCTTCAAATTTTGAACAGTTTTGTTTTGGTGCTTCATTATTCTGTTACCAATTTTTGGTTAGTGATGGTGAAGAAACTCATAGCCTGTTACTTGAATTATTGTTTTCCACGGAATGTGATCCCATCGGTAAGCATAAAAAGTTTGCATGACAACGGAACCAAAGCAGTGTTCAAAATTAATCTGTATGGTATAGCCCATGTTAGTTTATGAGATGCAAATAATACTTGGTGAATGAAATTTCACTATCCTAATAGGTGTCTCCGAGAAGATGATGAATATGAATTGAAAGAATAGACATTTGATATTTTTGAAGAAGTATCAACAAATGGTAAGAGTCATTTTGTTTCATCTCTCAGCAATAAGTAATCATGTTCAATTTCAATTCTTTTTCTTTTAAATCTTCTATAGAGATCCTATTTTTGAATGTACATTTGTTTCGATTTCAAGTGTTTTCCTTTCTTTGATTTCATATTCATTTTAGTTCAACACAACTACTTCATACTCAAATACAACATAACATCATCCTAATTCAATTTAATTCAAATATATACAAATTCATTTCAATGCTCAACAAAAACCAAATATAGTAAAACTAAGAAATTCATAGGTTTTTTCTTCATAACAATTAAAGTAGAATGAATTTATTAACTCTCCTTAGTTCATTATTGTATTTCAACCTACAACCATTAACACGTTCGATTAGAGTTAAAAATCTACTTCTAAAAAGTCTAAATATATAAAAAATATTCAAAATAATATAATATCAAAATCAAATAATAATTTTGATGAATCATATTGTCAGAATCTAAATTTTAACTTAGACTTAGAAAAAAAATAAAAATATAATATTAAAGAGCAGGAATAAACTTTGTAAAAAATCTTAACTTAACGAGGATTAAAAGAATCCTTATTACATCACAAATTCATTGATGCTATTTGATCAAGGAAAAAAAAAGTAACTCTAAAAATAGTCAGAAAAATTTAAATAAAACAGTTAGAATAGATGACGGTAACTTGATAATAAAGAGTTAAAGAATTAAAGATATTAGTTCATACACTCAAACAGAAAATAAAATTGTTAACTATATTATTCTATAAAAGAGAAACATCTCAATCAAACAAAAAATTAGGTTTCCACAAAAGTAAAGATTTTTTTTTTTATTTATAAATTCAAATAGAACAAATAGTTAGCTTTTTATTAATTAAAAATTTTGGTTAATATTATTCAATATCACTAGTTTTAATGATTTTTTTTACTAAAACTTAATATTACATCTAACATCCCAAAAATATATTGTAAAGCTATAAATATAGAATCATCACATATATAATAATCTAGAACAGTCATCCAGCTATAATATAAAGTATTATCTTTCACAGTTATCTCAAAATAATCATAGAATTTAAAACTTTATATACAGACTACTACAAAACTATATACAATATTAAAAACAACTAGTCTAAGCTGCCGCGTCATCTTCATCCAATGCCTGCTCTAGAGACACCCCATCTCCCTCTGCTCACACCCATAGGGATGATCATTGCAGAAGAAAGAATACCCCCAAGACATACAAAACAACAAACACACAACAGGGAAGGAGGAGGAGGGGAAACAAGAGGAAGCATAGAGCAGGACTAAGGGGGTCAGAGAAGGAGAGGAGAGAAGAGAAAAGGGAAAAGAAAGAGAGAAGAAAGAAGAAGAATAAAAAGAGAGTAAAAGATGAAAAAAAAGGAAAAAAGAAGAGAATGAGAAAAGAAATGAGAAAAAAGGAAAAAATAAGAGAAAGGAATAAGAGAGGAAGAAGAGAAGGAAGAAAAAAAAGAAAAAAGAAAGGAAGATAAGAAAAAAAAAAGAGAAAAATATATAGTTTTTGGGTTTTGGTTTTTTTTTTTTTTTGTTTTGAGAGAAGAAAGAAAGAAAGAGAAAAGAGAGAAGAGAGAAAGGAAGAAAAAAGGAGG